CCGGGGGGGGGGGGGTGTACTCATAGTCGTGCATGCCGTAGTCGTTTGACCATTGACCTCGCATCCCTACAAAGCCGGGACGGAGCACGCCGGGTTCTCACCGGACCAGGCTCTCACATCACCAAGCGCGAAGCGCCGTGAGGTATTTGGCGAGTCGCATGAAGGGTGAGCTGCATCCTGCTAAGGGTGTTCGGCATCTTGTGCTTACTTCCTTGCGTACGGATGACAGCTACGTATGACTTAATTTATTTTCTGGTGCTTTCACTTCCAGAGACAGTTGCAAGCACTGTGTAACTGCCTCGAGGAAGCTTGACCATTTTAACACAACGTGGTGCAATCATCCCCCGTTGCGCGGAGTGAGGGTTCTCGACCCCGCACAACATGATCTACTCGACCACCATTATGGTTACCGCCAAAAAAAAAACCGAGGTAAAAAAAACACGGTAACCTGGTTGCCGAGTTCACGAAGTGAATTGGCTTGTTTTACAACGTCGTTGCCAAGCGACGAAAACCCAATCCCGATGGCAAACACCGAGTGGGGGGATGGGGGGGAGAAAGAGGTGCCTCAATCATTATTCCGCCGGTGGTGGTGAGTTGGTAGACCGTTGGTTGGCCACGCGTCACATCTCTTGAGTTTCAGGAACACTGTGATTTTCGCTGTCTAGTCCCCGGGAAGACGCCCGTAAGCTGAGGTCGCCCTTTTGCGTTCTTCCCTACTTCGCATTTTGTTGGCTTCGCTTTTCCCATGCCTCTTTTTGGGCGGCATACAAGCCAGTTTCACACGTGAAGGGCTTCGGATACACAGCGTAAATCCTACCATGTGTTATGAGGATGAAACGGTAGCAGCAGGAGGTTGGCGTGCGTGAGGACAGCCGTAGGGAAAGGCTTCCTACTCGTCCCCTCGAGGGTGCCAATGCGGTAGAACGGCCTGACAGCCGTGCATGCGATAATGCGCAACGGCGACAACCAGAACCACCACGATTGGTCGGCAGCGATCGATGCCCCTTGCTGCTGCTCTCGATGGTATGCCTAACCGTGACCTACCCTACCCCCAACTTCAGCCCGAACCTTCGAGAGACCAAACATACAACAACAAGAATGACGACGCTATCATACCCTACTCTGTCAGTGCTGGTGCCACCTACAGGGGATGGATGTTTCCACACGATGCCACGCAAGTCGTCAAATGTGCGGCGGAAGGGCATCAAAGGCGAACCAGCAAACCTCCCGGACCCCCCCGTCCCACCAACGACCAACAGCAGTGATAGGCAGCAAAGCACACAAGAGCACACGGGGGGCTTAGGGCTTACTTCGGGGCAAAGACGAACAAGGAAACCTACCGAACCCCCCCCCCGTCCCACCAACATCGACAGCTCGCAAAAAAGTGACAACACGGTGGGCGTAGGGCTTACATCGGTCGACGCTCCTGTCGTACTCATCCATCACGCAGCAGGGGCACTCGGGGTAGTCCGGCACGTCAACGTCATCGCCGTCGCCCTCCTCGCCCAAGGTTAGGTTGAAGTAGCAGGGGGGGCACAAACCCGAGTCGCCTGGTCAGCCGGCCGGGTGTTTAAGGGGGGCAAGCAAACAGCAACCAATGGGGGATCGATCGATCACTCACGTAACTTCTGGATCCCCGATTTTTTTCCTTTTTCTTGGTTTCATAGCTCGTGCCCCCCCCCCCCCCCGGCTGGAAGCAAGTCGGTAAAAAAAGCCAATTG